ACACCCACACCGGTCAGTATTCACATTTTTCAAGTTTTGAGCCTTTTCATCGCAAAACTGCATGGGTAAAATCTCTGTTCTACCGGGCTTTTAAAATTTGCAGTTCAAAAACACTTTTCAACAATCAAATTGAAACCATAAAATCTTTTATGTCTTGGAATGGTTATCCTAATGGCGTTAGAAACTTTTTGATTAAAAAGCTTAAAACCAAATATATTGATAATTCTACTTCCGATACCGTTAATCATGACACTGATGATGATATGTTGCCTAAAATTTGGATTCGTATTCCTTATCTCGGGAACCGTGGCGATTTTCTTTTAAAATCATGTCTCAATAAAATACAAAGATTTCTTTCTAAACCGGTTAAGTTCATCACTATTTATGACACTAAAAAACTCTCTTATTTTGTTTCCAACAAAGATAAACTTCCTCCTTTATCTCGTAGTAATCTTGTATACGAGGTCGCTTGCCCTGATTGTGGCAAAACCTATATTGGCATGACACAAAGATGCCTTTCTGTACGTTTGAAAGAGCATGCAACTAGGCTCTCTTCTAGTGCAGTGGGCCAACATTTTTCTGAATGTGAACATGCTCAATTCTTAGCTACTTTACAAGACCAGTTCACACTACTCAACGATCTTCCTTTGCCTTCTGACAACTCTTCTCCTATTGAAAACCTTGTTTTCAACAGCTACAGAATACTTCACATTACAAAATCTAACAACTACAACATTCTTGCTTTTCTTGAAGCACTGCATGCTTATCAAACATAACAAACCTTTTCTTAACACTGGACTTAAAGCTAGTAAAGAACTACAACTGTTCACATAACACTTTAACTTAATATCTTCTACTTGTCGGGTCTTCCCTTTCTATCTTATTCCTTTTAATATATTAAACATTGTTGTAAATATAGCGAAATAATCCATTCTCAGTTAATTACTTTTTTCTCTATCATGTTTCGCTTCGCTTGGATAATCCTTCTTTCCGCCCACATGACAGATGCTCTCTCTCTGCGTTGTATATATATATATATATATATATATACTCCTTATATATATATATATATATATATATATATATATATATATATATATATATATATATATATATATATATATATATATATATATATATATATATAAACTATGGTAAACACTATAAATATATGATGTGAATCAATTTGCCATTGTGCAGCAGAATGCTGTGAATATATTAAATTACCTGTGACAAACCCGGAGATCTGAATATTCGCTAAGTTCACAAATTAGACGCGAAACCATAACATAGGTATTGTTTTAATAAAAGCAATATTAAGTCATTTTTAAAATAATAATTACCTCTTACCTTTGTAAAATCAAAAATATAAAAGATTCGTGATGATCTAGCACCTTGTCAACAACAGAAGGCGACACGTCACGCACATATTTGACCGTAGCTCTTAGACTTGTAATGAACTATAAAGAGCCCACCACAATGCTTTAAGTAGACCCATACACACAGATATATAGCTTATAAGTGACGTTTTTGTCTTAACTCAAAACATTCTCAGACTAAGAGTGAAATTAAAATGACAAAGATTATGAATGAATTAGGTTAGTATGTTGCAAGCGCTGAGGATTAATACGAGGTATTAAATTACAGACACGGAAAACAACGCGTATTATTTTCAGTGAGTGTCGATGCTGTGCGGCGTCGTATGGATTAGGGTAAAACGCTGATACGGACGGATGGACGGACGGATGGACAAAGTCCAACGGTCGTTGATATTTATATCAAGCCAATCAGTGAATCCGTTCAGTTCAGTCGTGACCAATCAGAATCAACTACCTGCAATCATGTGCAAAACAGTTTGTGAGACTTATAGCATTTGTTCCCCTCCCCCCCGAAAAAAAAACAATGTTGTTGCCATGATACCAGGTCACATGGTTTTCTGAAAAGATCCACTCAACATTGTCAGTGGGGGGAGGGGGGGATAGTCTATAAAACGTCAAACCATATGATTACATAGATGTGTCAAAATAAAAAAGGTGTCTGAAATACATAAAGTCTCATTATTTTTGCTAATGATTGCAGATATGGGTAGTGCTGCTGCATGAGGGTCGACAAGTAATGCCCAAACAGCAAAATCTCGAAGGGAACCATTTTTGTATTTAAGAAAATAACAAAATATTTTCCGTGCCTAACAAAGTACGACTTTCAGATACACAAAAAATAACGTTAAGTCTTTTCTATGGCTTCCAAACATGATTTGTGCAATAGTCCAAGTATCGTAGATTTTTTTAAGTTTTTCATCTATGTTCTAGCATAGCTAGAAAGGCAGAAATCCGAGTTTTTCGAAGAGGTGTATTTTCGCCGCCGTACCTCCAATGGCGGCCTTCAATTTGGCTTCAAAGATGGCGGCCGAGTTATCGTTCCAGTCTTATTAGAGTTCACTGGTAATGCCACGAACTTTTACAGACTGAACACAGGCTAACTTAATTAAATGTGACTGTCTTCACTATTTGTCTATTTTACTCGATCAGTCAAGGGGAGAGTGATGCGGCATTCCGGCAATGGGTTAATCAGACTATTTGCAATGCCCGATGCATCCTGTTAATTAACTTACAACCCTTTACGTAGCAATGCGCCCTGATGAACCGTACTTTATTATTTTACTCTGTCTAACGCCATATTATTTTACTCTGTCTAACGTCAGATGATTTTACTCGTCAAGGGGAGATTGCTGCCACTCATGATAAATGCCAATGGCTTGTTATCTTTGTTTTTCAGATTGTTGATAGTTTGTATCTAAAATATATTATTCAAGATGTCATCTAACCTTGAAACGAGCTTTTTAAGATCTTGCTGAATTGTGCGAAGGATGTACTTACTACGTTTGCACAGTTTCTCAATCGAACTTGTGACAATGGTAAATAACATTAGCTTGACAAAATTACTGGATGCCGATTGGTTGAGAGGTGTACAATTATTTCATTAGGGACGCACCATTAGAAAAGTGATGGGGGGGGGGATTTTCTAAGAGGCAATATATTTTTTTGTACACCTATAGAAGAAATGGGTTTTTTTATCACTTGATGGCTGTAAATATTTTTTTTAAGTGAAATTTACAGGCCTATCTTCCAGGCAAGCATTTTTTTTTGCACTATGCCTGGGAAGATTTTTTTCCCTAATTTTTTTCTGGGAATAATTTTTTTGGGGGTTTGCCCCCCCCCCTCCCCATCACTTTTCTAATGCTCCGTCCCTTAATTGCACTTTATTATATGGCAAGAATCACTTCCGTTGAAATGGCGAACTGTCGTTGGCTAAAAGAACACTTTCGGCGGTAAAAACAAACGCATGCATTGTTAAACAAAACAGCAAAACTAATTGAAAATTTAAAAATTATAATTTAATTTGTTATTAATAAGATATTTGCGAATGGTTTTTAGTAAAAAAGAATGATTACATTGGTATTTTTTTGTTTTCTTCGTCCAAATGTCATGGACCACGCTACTAATATGCATTTCAAATCATGCATTTCTTGTTCGTTTCAAGTGACAAATGCCTATAAATGCCTATATATAAATGCCATATAATAAACTTTTTATTAACCTCGCTTTCTCGGTATGTACAGAGAAATATCGGTCCTCGGTCTTTTTGTACAAACCTTGCCCTACGGGCTTATGGGCAAAAAAGGGCTCGCGGTCCGATATATTTCTCTTGTACTCAGTTAGAATCTCCTTCATTAAGGACAATCTCTCTATATTTATAGTCTAAATAAATAGGGCGTTTACAATGACTACACAATTTACATAAACTCAGGGGCGATCGAAACTAGCCCCTTTTAATTGGGGGGGGGTGTCTGCCAGAATTGCCCCGCCAAAACCGATGATGCCCGGCAGCAAATTTTTATTTCTGGCCACTATTTTTCCCAAAAATGTTGGCGAC